GGAGCACAGGTGGCTCCGCAGCCACAGCCAGGGTTGGTTTAGACGTGTTGCGGTTCCATGGGAATCACACACTAAGGACACAAATGTCGAAGGCAGTTGTAACTGCACCAGGCAAGGAAAGGGGGCTCTCAGAGTGGTGAGCGGGCGACGTCCAGCGACGGTGCTGGGATCCAGCGTGTGTGGCTCGGTCACGGGGACACGGCAGCACGGGGACGAAGCTGTGCGCTTCAGGGCTGACCTCCCCCTGCAGTCCCTCCCGGTGGGACGCCTTAGAGGCCTCGCCTCCTCGCACCCGGAGCCCCTCCGCTGGCCAGGTCGGCAGCGACTTGAACCCCCCCTTCTGTGCCCAGCGCCACGCGAGCCGGGCCTGGGGCTGAGGGATGCGCTGAAACCTGCCTCTCACCTCAGTCGCAGTGACACCCGGTCGGCAGCGTCCGGGACCGTGCAGTTATCATCGGAGTTTTATGTCGCATCACGTCCTGCAATGTCCCGATTTAAAAGGTAATAGTTACCTTCAGACCCTTCGTCTGAGATGGCCGTGCCTGCAGGACGCGGTGCGGTGAGGGGCAGGAGGCCGAGATGGAAAGGCCCCGGGGCAGCATCGCACTGACGAGGGACGTGGTGGGCCGGCCAGCATGCCCTGGCCACTCATGGCCTCTGTGAGAGTTGTGGCCGGGGACGGGGGAGGGGCCGAGTGTTTGCTGGGACAGGACTGAGCCGGGCGGCTGAAGCCACTGTGGGTCTGAGGACAGGCGGCAGCACATGTGGAGCCGACATGGTGCCAGGCAAGAATGCGTTCTTTAAAAAGCGCGGCTTCCCGCACGCGCTCGCCGCGCCTCTGCACGCTCTCACCGCCCTCTCTCTGCTTTCTTGTTGCAGTTTCTTATGGGGCTGACGGCTTTAGGGATTTCCATGCAATAATCCCCAATTCTTTCTCTCGTAAGTATATGCTTTGCTTCTAAGTAAACGTGGACATGTGTGTTCGTCTCACGCTCCGTTCCCATCGTGTGGGTCCTGTGCGTGTGCTTCTCATTGCCTTTTGCATGTTGTCAATGTGAGATCAGTGCAAACAGCTCCCATCCACAACGTCACCTCCACAGTGAAGTGCACACGTGGCATGTTGTTTACTTATTTTTAAATGTATTTTTACTGATTTCAGAGAGGAAGGGAGAGGGAGAGAGAGAGAGAAACGTCCATGATGAGAGAGAATCCTGGATCGGCTGCCTCCTGCACGCCCCACACTGGGGATGGAGCCCACAACCCGGGCCTGTGCCCTGAGCAGGAATCGAACCAGGACCTCCTGGTTCCTAGGTCGATGCTCAACCCCTGAGCCACACCGGCCAGGCCACACGTGACATTTTAGATGTGAAAGGTGCCATGGAGCGTCCCTCTGTAGCGACATGGAGTGTGAGCAGTGGCACACGGAACAGTGGCATGGACGGAGTCGCCGCCCCCCCACACACACACATGTACACACACACACACACACACACACACACACACACCGCTCGCAGCGCTGTTACTAACGTGGGTCATCTCCTCTCTGCCGAGGAGATGAGGAAATGGCCGGGCTGTCTGTCACCACCCAGCAGCCCGGCCTGCGGTCGAGGGCAGCCGTCCACGCCTGCAGGACGGGAGCCGGCACGGCTGTTCGTCCGTTGCTCAGAGTGTTCATTTGCAGTGGCGCCGCGGGCCGCTCCTGATCTGAGCTGGCAGCCCAGGCAGATGTCCTTCCATCTTTCAGTTTTAGGCATCGAGGGATGAGATGACACTGTGTTTCGCAGCATCCTGAGGGGGTGGGAAGGGATGGACAGTGCTTTTCAAGGTGCACAGGGAGCTGCATATTCAAAGCGATTCAAGCTGGTGGCCCCTTTGGACTGGCGGCGTCAGAGCCTGGAATAGTCCGTCCTCTGATGCTGCAACTGGGAAACGACGCCCGCTAGGGCTGCCCCGG